CTTCATCATCCTGTTTTGATCAGTTTTGTATGAATTCACTGTATGTGAAGATGTGGACAACTATTTGGAAGAAAACAAGAGACAATATAACAGATAATGAAGATCTTCTGTTGTTTTTCTTGGAAATCTCTGCTTCTTACATTGTCTTCTTATGTCTTGTTCTGTTTAATTTTATCCTCTTTAAAATAAAATCTTAAAAACTATAAAAAATACAGTAAATGCCAGAAAATAATTTAAAATTTCTATCTTCAAAGTACTAATAGAGAAATCATCGTTTAATTTTAAAAATAGTACACAATGAAATATATTAAGAAATGAAATAAAATACATTTTCAGATGAAGGTAGATATTTCTACTTCATACAATTGTTAGAAGAAAAAGAAAAGGAATCATGCTCCATAACCATGAATAGATTTTATTGGGATTACAAACTGAGAGAGATCACTGGTGAGAAAACACCAGAGTAGCTCTCCTTTCACAGACTGAGGGTTATTTTTTAAAGCAGTTTTGTAGGAAGAGATAGCAACTATTTTGAGTTAAGTTTGTTTTGCAATCTTTGATAGCCTAGCTTCTGTGCCCAAGTATGTTCATCTGCCAGCTCATAGTTTTAACACGAACTCTTAAATCTTGGTCATTTGGTGGGGGAATAGCAGTTTTTCTTCCATCAAAAAATGTAATAGATATGTCTTTATAAGCCCTTTGAATATGTGTGATATATTCTTTTCTCTTTGGACTAGTTTTTTGTCTCTATTCTTTCTTCTTTCCCATCTTTAGTACATAATCTTATGAAATTTTGAAACCAGGTAAATATTAAATATCTATTCATATCAATAGTGAATGTGCTTTACAATCTAAAACCATTACAATAAATAGAAACTCCTCACAAAATTTCATATTTTCATATCAAAAACTACCTTACTATACAATGTGTAATATTATAGGGAGCATTTCAAAATTAGAAGATAAAAAATTTTATGTACTGTGATTAAAATTTTTTCTTTGAAATATTTTAAAAGGGATAATTAGCATCACAGTATTTGTGAGCAAAGGTTGATTGTGTCAACTTGATTGACTTGGGACCACCTAGAATTTGGTGGATCATATTTTGAGGTGTGTCTGCATTTATCAACGATAAAAGACTTTAAGTACTATATCTGAACCCTCACCCTTCTTCTATGATGCTAAGATCTTCTTTGCTTCTCAGCTACCATGAACTAAGCAGGTTTTTCTGACCATACCTTTCTGTTCTAATGTTCCTTCCTTGGTGCCAATCATGTACTGAATTCTCTGAAAACATGAACACAATTTGATTTTTCCTCCTTTAGTTTGTGGGTGTTGAGTATTGTGTCCCAGCAATGAGAAATACAATTCATATAGAAAATGCTTATGTTAATGCCCTATAGAGTTGCTGTGGTCTAGATCATTTTACTCTGTGATACTCCTAAGTATCACCTTGATGTGAGTCTTCTAGGCTTACTGTTGCAAACAAGCATTTCTGTAGTGAACATATCATAAATAAACACTGAAAGAACCCAGTCATTAATGAAGCAAGTATTTATTGGTGCACAACTATATATAAGTTAGGTGGGAGCTATTAAATATCTAGCATGTAAACACAATCTATTGGCCTAACAGCATATTTTATGAAAGAGATGAGAATAAATACACAATCTTTATACTATGAATACTACAAGAATTGTACTTCTAATAATATTATAAATAGAGCACTCACTGAGACCGAAAAAAAATTGTCAGGTGTGTGAAATTCAAAATGTAATAACAGATATTTATTTCAATGTAAAAAATACCTTCTTTAGCAGTGAAAATGAAATGACAAAATATTGAAAATATTTTCTTCCTGGATACAAATATCTTCAAACCAGATATTTGAATCCAAACACTGATGCATTTTTTCTGACAATGATATTTTATAATATATAAGCATAATACTAATTTTAAAGTTATATGACATTTTCATAATTTATGGGATTGTAATTGGAGCAAAACTCTTATTATCCTGTCATAATGAGACTGCATATGCAGAGAACAAAACAGAATAGAAATAATGTATGAATATTCATAAGCTAGAGTTACTTCACTATGGGTAAAACATTATAAAGTAATTTCTTAATGTTCATGCTCAAGAGCTCTCAAGACTTCAACAGATACTGCATATTCACATTGTTTAGCACTAATTTCACCATCCCCTTTAAAATACCGTGAACCTTTCTTAAAAATTTATTCTAAAAATTATTTAGTCATTTCTTATGTTTGTCTTAATTAAAGAAAAAATTCAAAAAAATTAGGATATATAAATAGTAACTCTTTTTGATTTCCTATTAACTTGTTTTGAAGTCCTGTAGTACTCCCACGATCTTGTTTTGACTGATTAGACTCTGTTCCATTCTATATGATAGTATCAAGTTTGAAGACATAGGCAACTACTTTGAAGACAATAAGATTCACTAAGATACCCATTCTGGTTTGACTATTGTCTTCTTTGGAAGTCCTGTAATGTTTACAATGCCTAAGTTTTATTGGTCTTGTTCTCTACTGTTTTGTCCAACTTTATAATATCTAATAAGATAGACAATTCTTTTTAAGGAAACAAGGGACAACGTTGATAACCATTGTTGATAAACTTGTACTCTGTTCTACACCATGTGCTATGTCTATCCTTGGTATTGACTGACAGCTTTGTTTTGCCATATTTGACTGTATTCTTCCCCCCCCCAAAGAAAGCAATAAGCACTAAGGAGTAATAAAATCCAAGATGTGTAAATTTTGTTGTAAAAAAGAGAGGGAAAAAAAAAAAGAAAAAGAGCTCTAACGGATATAACAGCAAGTGTGTTTGGGGGTGTTAAATAGCTGACTTTATCAATGTTTTTGGAACATTGAACACAGCTGTTTGCAGTCTCCCTGTTTGAATGTCCACCTTGTGTTCTTTGATGCTGTGATTTGAGGAACTATTTCCAAGAAGATAGTGTGTAATCTACTAGCAGGTGATTTCTTACTGTTATGTTTTTTTGTTTTGTTTTGTTTTGTTTTGTTTTGTTTTGTTTTGTTTTGTAGTTCTGTATTGCGTGTACCCTTACGCCGCTTTGGTTTGTTTTGTGTTTTTCTCTTTTTCCTCTTAAATAAAAAAAAATTTATTCTAGGCTATTTTTTGTGGTTTACTATGATTCCGTATACTTATTTTGTGTATACATATGAAGTGTTTAATTCTAACATCAGAATAGACCTTAAGTCTATGGTGATAATTGTTTTAAACCAACGGTCTCTGTATATAACAAAAATCTATGGGTGAATAGTCATTACATCCAGTATGCTTGGTATTTATGTGTACAGTGTTTGTTTCAAATAGATTTTCTATATAATTTATTATAAGTATATTATTCAAAGAGTTGAAAATCTTAAAACACATTGTTTAATAAATATATGTATATTTGTAAAAACCTATAAGCATGTTGTACTTACTTCCTCATTGTTGGGAAAAAGTATCTGACATCCATAAGTTAAAGAGGACAAGTTTATTTTAGCCTTCATTTTGTAGAGGTTTCAGTTCACAGTTGGCTGGGTTCAAGGCAGAGCAAGATGGCAGAGGAAAAACTGTCCATAGCAGGTCAGGAAAGAAGTAAATATCTGCCTTCTATCTTTTCATTTATCTAGGATATAAACCTATTAGGTCGTACCACCCACACCCAGCTTGGGCTTCCCTTTTCTCACACTCAGAAAATGCTAGATGAATTAGTGGACTAATGCAATTACCACATATTTTAATCCATATTCACACACCCTATATCCATTCACCTCCATAATACCCCACATATGAGTGAGTGAGACATCAGGAATGCCTAAATACAAGCCATAATGAATTAATGAAATCAAAGTTTTTAGTTTGTATTGTAGTTTTTGCATTTTTTGGAAAAGTTTCAAGTTTCAAAACTTTCAAAGAGCTGCAAGAACTGTATAATAAATTAATATTCCAATTATCCTGGTATTAAAGACTCTCTCTCCCTCTCTCTGTATCTAAATACATACGTACACACGTGCACTCACACACACACAAGCACACCTGTTTTTTATCAAACAGTCTCAAATTAGGCAGAGGACACCATATTCCACCCCTAAATACTTCATAATACCACTCCATATAGTATCTTTTCCTGCATACTCATATCACTGTTACTTCAGTTAAGAGAATTAAAAATAAGATAACACTATTATTCACTATACTGAAACAGTCTTCTTTTTCTTCAAAATGTACATTTTGGCTCATTTTGTTCCATGTGGGTAATCAATAGATATATTCCATCAGACCACAACACTATTAGTGTTTATGAAGTATGGGGAGTGAAGGTCTGGAGGTCTAGTTGACGGCTCTAGCAGAGGAGAGGGTCTGAGCAGTGTCAGACCCTGAAAAGTCCTGCCAGACACCGCCCCACTCTGGCCCCGCCCCCAGGAGCCGCCCTCAGCCTTCCAGGTCACATCTAGGCTCTGCCCCCATCCAGGTCTCAGCCCTGCCTATATAAGAGGACAGGAGACATATTTAAAAGTCAGATCGGTGCCATCAGCCTGGTCTCCAGTGTGATTTATTCACGCTGTGACTCCGCGCCACTTTCCACGGGCCCAGGTCCCATGCAGCGACAATGAAGTGACCACTGATACAATGACTGCTCCATTGAAAAGTTCTGTTTTCCATTTGCAACTAATGATTAACTGGATTGGTTGTGAATACCTTTTTCTCTGTACAGCACCTGCTACATTGTATCAACCATTAATTCTTATATCAACCTGTTATAGTATCAAGAGTTATGAAATAGTGAGCTTCTAATTGTGAAATCACTTTTTTATTTCTTTTTGCTGAGAATTGGAAGAAAAATTATTATTGCTTTCCTCATTTCTCTCACCTCTTTTTAAAAATATTTCTTTTTATAGTCATAGAAAATTTTTCTAATCGTTGCTATTCTTAGTCTCTTTAATAATCACTTTGAGTCAACTTTATCCATTGGATTCACATTCACAAAAGCTGAATTCTTTTTATTTACTCTCACATCTGCAAGTACATCAATTAGAAATGCATATATGTTTACTATGGCCTCCTGTATATTGAGGGGTGGAAGAATATAAAAAGGCTAAAATATCCAGTCAAAAAGTCCTGAGTCGAGAGTTCACTGAAGAATCTGATGTATGTCCACATAGGAAAACCCAAGGGTCTCTGATGGAAGGCTGGAGAGTCCGTGATGAAAGTCTGAAGAACTGGAGATAAATACAGAAAGATGACAGAGAAGGCTGGAGCTCCTCTGAAGAAGCAAAAGATAATACTCCCATTTTCTTTCTCTTTTTAAATCATTCAAATGACAAGCCTATTTTTTAGTGCCTCCTTTATTCAGGGAGGGTCTTCTCTTCTCTGTTTTTAGTTCACAAGTCAAGCATTTAGACACACCCAGAATATTGCTCCACTAATCTTCTAAGTGTTTCTCAGTGTATTTTACTTGACATCACAATTAGCTATCACACCAAGGAACCTTGCTTCATTTCAGCAGGAATTTATTTTTATGAATCAAAATATTGATGTTATTTACACTTACACTATTATTTACACAATGGCATGTCAACAATATCAACATGTGAAAATCTTACAATTATGTATAGTTTCTTATTTCTAATCTTTTAGCTGTAATTAGAATATAATTGCTATAGTAGGATAATAAGGCACAGATTTATTTATTTTTGACACAGTGAAAAAATATGTATTTGAATTTCACATTCTTTTTTCATTGTTAGGACTAATATCTTCCACTTGCTTTATTCTTTCTTTCTTTCTAAATGCCCAGGAATGTCTTCCATTTTCCAAGGCGCTGTTTTTGTGTTAGCCATACTGACTACCAGTGACTGTTAACTCTGTTCACATATTTTTGGGTTCCTTCCTTTGAACTCTCAGTAGCCAGTGTTCTGATTCTTGCTGTGATTTTTTTCCATTCAGATCAGGATTTAATTTTAAAAAGTAAATTGACCTGTATTCTTATACTACTATTATCATACCGCATGTTCCTGATTTTGAACTATTTTAGGTTGCATCTTCCTTGAGCCTGGGCTCCAATGCAATTTCGATTATTTTCGTAAACATTTCTTTTGCTATTAGACGTCAACTCAAGTTGCAGTATTATTTTAGTTCAGGCCACTGACACATGATTTGCACTGTTTTATTTAATTTCTTTGTTGATCTACATGGATTTTGGGACATGTATAAAAAGATTATGATTTACAAAGCCCCTTTTATCATACAAAAATTCAGAGGTCTGAAATATAATTGTAAATTTATAAATTATTTTATGACTTATTTCGGTGTTCAATTTGCCTTAAATTTTGAGTTATTCCTCATTTAAAACAGGAAAAGACTAAAAACGTACACAATATAAATTTATTATAACATTGACAGTAACTCTATACTTAATTCTGGCCTGCCTCTGGCCTCTGAACCAAGTAACTTACACTTTTAAAGTTCAATTACACTGCTCTGAACATTTAAAAATAAAACAAAAAGAAATGAAGAGTATTTTTTTTTCTACTTCTTCTATCTAGTTTTTCCATTAAGGTGTCAATTAGTTGTTTATATTCCTACTGACTTACAATGCATTAGGCATAAAAATTAATTGTAATCTGTCTTTCACTTGTTCCCCTATCTGATCTGCTTTTCAGCTTGTTAGACAGTCTTCAGATACATGCCTTTTTTTAAACCAAGAAACAATAAACCAAGTGAAAGTACAGAAAATAGTATTGGAAAATACTGATAAAATCTAAATAAATAAAAGAAAACCTAGGGACATATCAAAGTTATTTAAAACTCCGTTAGACATTGCTGGTGTCTTCTTAATGCCTTATGAGTCAGTTTTCCATTTTCTTAATCAGAAATATTAGTGTTCAATTGTCCTCTTCCCTGCACTGGTTTACAAGTTAGAGTGATATTGAAGTCCTTGTTGAAAGGAATTCAAAAGAGAAATGCTCTGATTTGAATATTGCTTTATGTGTTCCTTATGGGTTGATGTTTTACAAATTTGGTCTTCAGTGCAACAACTTTGTGAAGTAGTGGAACATTTAAGAGGTGTTGGCTCATGGGAAGTAATTAGATAATTACAGGCATTACCCTCAAATGAGATTATGTAGTTCTTCTGGGAACTCATTTAGTTCCTGTGAAACTAGGTTACTATAAATTGGTAACAGCGTGCTGCTCTGCTCTGTGTCTTCTGATATTGCAAAGTGGCATCTCGCTTTTACACATATATCTCCTGTGATATGATGTGTTCAAAAGGCCCTCAGCAGAGGCCAAACTGATGAGGAGCTGAAAGCTTCAATTTTTCAGTCTTCAAAAACTGTGAGCTAACCAAACTTTCTTTATTGTAAGTTACCCAGCCTCAGGTATTTTGTAATAATACAGATCAACTAATATTCAGAATAAAGATAAACTCACTCCTGCTATGGATTGTCATCATCTTGCTTTGGGCAAAGGGAATAGTGATGTAGTAAAAAGAGAATGAGAGAAACACTCTAGATAGATATAAGAGGACCAACTGGAATTCAAAGTTAGAAAGAGACTTTTTGCCAACTTGAACCTGTGACTCCATTACCTAACGCAGTCACCTTAGACAAAGCACCATAGATCACAAAAGTTCACATTTTCTAAAGTAGCAAGACTTAAATATCTTCAGGCAAAAGCATAAAATATAGACAAAAATCTCTTTTAATCATTCCTGACTTATTCCATGGAAATTTTATTACACGTTTAAAATATCACTAGTGACATGATATAAGCTACATAGACATTCTTAAATAAAATACAATTTATACTACCTTCCCAAAGCTTACAATCGGTTGGGAAAAATAATGAAATCATGGCACCAAACTCATGCCAATGTAAATATTTAAATTATTTAATATGAAAATGAGCCTTTTTCTGACACCTGCATAAAACTGAAGTCATCATTTCAAAGCGATATTGGAAAAGATCACATTGACACTCTCTTGGGAATAGAAATTAGCATTAACATGTGAGCTGACAAGCAGGTATGTGGATGACAGGGCAGGGGTCCAAACTCAAACTTTTTGTTTTCAGTGTTGTAGCTGTGTGAAAAGAAGGGGTAGAAGAAAAACAAATAAAACATCCCTGTTTCTAACAGTGAAGCAATTGGGTTGATTAATGCTCTATCCACCTGAGTGAAGGCATGAGACCTGCTTTGATAAACTAAATTTTAAGTCATAGTCTGTGAAAAATATTACAGACTATTTGTTAAATTATTTATTCTAACTATTTGTCAAATTATTTATTCTAAATAGACTGTCCTCATCCTTTTGGAAATGTTTAAGGATAGGTTAGGAAAGGATTGGCCAGTGGCCTGATCCTTCTCAATGGAAGCAACATTACCTGATTTCGAAAAGTTTAACAAAAAATAAATAAATAAATAAAAATTTAAAAAAAATTGGAACCTTTCCTTAGCTCCCTGACACTTCCCTAAATTTTGGCAGTTATATCTGCTTCTTATTTCTATCTTACTGAAGGAACTATTCTTCCTCATGACTTAAAATACTTCCATTGTGATTTATAATTCCATATCATATCATTTCTTCAAGGAACTTATCTTGTCTGACACATTTATAATTATCTTCTTCACGGTTATTCAACTCCAGCACTCAAGAGAATAGTCATGAATTCAAACCACTCAAATCTAAAAATTTTTTTCTCTTATTTACATCTCCCTGACCCTGCCAATACAATCACAAGTGATATTAACCATTCACTTCATGTCTTTTATAACCCAGTTTACTAGGAAAATAATTCAAAATTTCTGCCTCTAAATAGAAATAGCTATAAATATCTCAATTACTGGAATTCAGCTCCTTTCCTATGTGCTCCATTAATAAAAACAATGACTAATATCATCACAAACTTATAATCTATCAAATACAACTGAAATTTTTCAAAAATCACTTATCCTATTTTACCTCTGAAACCTCTATATTATTGGTCAACCTACATCATTGATCAATCATCTCCTGAAAGTCTTTTTAAGTTTAATTGCTTACTTCTCTTTAGATTGTCTTTATCTTCTTTTGAAAACTGCCAATGTTTCTTTCTAAAAGCTCATTAATAATATGTATATTTGGAAAATAAATATTGTTTTGATAGTGGTTCAAAATTGTTTTCTCTTCTCTATTGCAATAAAAGAGCTTATTAGTGTTTCATTTGTCATCCAGTCTCTGAAAGAATGTGGACATTCAAAGATATTTTCTTACTTCTGGTGCACATTCAGTTACAAGTAGAAGAAAATGTAGACAAAAAAGAAATATATTGTTAGTTAAGGAAGAGATTTTTGGGATAGTTTTTAAAGAGGATACCAGGAGAAGATTAGAATACTATTCAAAAGTATGTAAGACAAGAGAGAAGAACTGGTGTTTGGTAAAGAGAAAGTGCATGGGAAAGAAAACAACATTTAAATAAGGCTGGTGTAAAGCTATATGTAGTTTTGCCAATATTTGAGAAACACAAAGAACCTCAGTTATTTTGAAGTGTGTTTGATTTATGTTCTGTGTTTCTTTTACTAAAATGGAGCTCTCATACTAGTATTCATGTTTCATTTATTCAGCCGCATTTTCTGTAGATGAAAATATACTGATAAAATGGGTGTTTCATTTCTTAAAAAAATTTATCTGTACACTTATGTTTCATGTATCTACAAACCATATTTTAATAAGCAGTTTCCTTAATTAAACTTTATTTTTCCTGACTCTCACAGTGATTCCTCCAAAATCATAATATACCTCTCAGATTTCTTGCTTGAGTTACAGATATTAAATTTCAACTACAAACCAAATATTTCCAATACTATAAACTATAGGCATCAAAAGTCAAAGTGTTCAAGTAGAAAATATTTTCTTACTTACTTCCTATTTTGTAATGAGAACCATAATATATCCAGGTTTATAGAATAAGTTATAATTTTTCAATACAATGCATGTCCTGAGTCAGTCCCAGACATATGATCCCTCTTCCTCATACATGGATCTATCAACTTCCATGGTATTTGCAAAATTTCTAAACACAAATCCTAAAGTTGTCTGCTCTTGGTTAGGGAATTTCTGCATACCACTAACCATTCTTCTTGATTCTTCCACAAGGATATTGTTTTACCAATATCTAAGTATTTCCCTGTTCATTCAATATGTTTTGTAAATCATAAAGTAGTCAACGCTGAAAATGTAGTTGCCATATATCAGAGGCTATTGTAAAGCTTTTAAGTATTAACTATTTAATTATTATAATGAGTTTATAAGGAAATACTATAAACATATCTGAGTTACACAGATGTATGTGTCTAAGGAGGAAAAATATTACATCACAGATTAACAATCAGTAGAATTTATATTTCAATGAAGGCAGTGTGATTTAAGAATTTCTGCTAGTAGCCAGCTTTCAAGATCTGGTATATTTTGCTCTGTTCAATATATTTCTTTATGTATCTTGAAAATAGTATGACTGTAGAAGCTTCCACATTTTTGTCTATTTACTTCAGATGCCTCACTAGTTTCTGTTTTAAGAAGGGTTTCATATCACTTTCACCAAAAGTTTGTTCTAACATCACTACACTTGGGCTGGGGCTTTAGTTCAGCAGCCTAAGCACCTGCCTGGAAAGCGTAAGGTGATGAGTCTGTTCCCTGGTACCAAAAAACAAAAAAATCTAACTGGAGCACTATACTTACATTGTGATACTCACCTGAAAGAGGAGATAACATGATAAAAAAATGTGGCTTTCCGGAGGCAAGGCATATCTGTTGCACTCTGGATGAGCTGATCCCTGGTTTCCCCAAATAATGGGAAATTGGCGACGTAGCTTGTGGTAGTGGAGTGCTGCTTCACAGTTTCCTTTGAGGAAAAATTTAGGAAAAATGAATATATTGTAAGATGTTACCAATGTCTTTTTATTTGACACTTCTGTTGTTATATCTACATTCTCTTATTTTTTATAACGTTTAAAAAGAATCCTGAGGTAATAACTTTTTAAAAATTATTAATGTATATTAAAAGGCACAAGAAATACATACAAAATATTTTCACTATATTGATTGATAAATAAAATAATGGATCCTCAGTATTTATGTGACTGGTAACTCAAAAACAAGGACTCTTTTTGGGAATAATTTTATTTTAATTGAATAAGTGAATTTTAAAACTGCAGTTAAGATCATCTTCTCAAAGTGACAAAACTTCAGGAAGCACACAAGTGAATCAGTTAAAAGAAAATGAAAAACATCATTGAATCAGGCACTTCAGTCAAAGCAATTTGTTAGGTTGAAGGTTCACAAAGACAGCAAACCATATTTCTCTTATACTACATGATAGAGGTTCAAAGGGGAACAATTCCACCAGTGTTTCATAACCCGACACTGTCTTGCAACAAACCCACAAATGCATGAACAAATACAAAAATATGCAGTAAAATTTTTTAGTACTCTAACAATGATTCTGAACATATTTTACAATAAGTTCTTTTAGAAAATAAATTATTTGTTATTTTGTATAGATTACATATGTAATGTGCACACATCAATTTCAGCTAGCTAACTTACAGAGTTGCAATTTAAATCATTTTATAAAACAATTAAATAGATTATTAAAAAGTTCCAATTGTTGAAAGGTAGTCTGGAGAATTTAAGTGAAAAATTGTGTCATATGACAACAAATTGGGGAAAAATGTAATTCTATTTTGGGGAATTGCTCTATCTCATTTGTTGAATTTGCTCAAATACAGATTTAAGTTGAAATGGGAGAAATATTACTTTTGAAACATATTAGAAAATCCATAGTGATTTGTCTTATTTTTCTTTATCTGTGTATGTCTGTGTATCTCTATTGCTATCTAATTCTTCATCAAACTGTCCTAGTAGATGAAAAAAACAAATCAAATAAAAAACACAATAAACTAAATAATAAACAATAAAAACACAATTTTTTAAAAAAAACCATCACAAATTATAATAATTTGAATTGAATCAGGTTTTAGCAGAAATACAAAATGTACAGATCAGAAAACAACTCCAGATAGATTACCAAAACTGACACTCAAATTGTCTATTATCTTTCCTGTTGAAAAATAAAACAGATCCTATGTTATCTTATGTCAAATATAAAAGTAGTTAGCCATCGTGTATAAATCTCATCTATTTTCAATCTTATGTCAAATATAAAAGTGGTTAGCCATCTTGTGTAAATCTCATCTATTTTCAATCTTATGTCAAATATAAAAGTGGTTAGCCATCGTGTGTAAATCTCATCTATCATCAATTTCAACTATGTCGCCGATTTCCCATTATTTGGGGAAACCAGGGATCAGCTCATCCAGAGTGCAATAGATATGCCTTGCCTTCAGAAAGCCACATTTTTTTTTATCATGGTATCTCTCACTCTTTCAGGTGAGTATGACAAATCTCAACATTTTCAAATAGTTCTGGCAAAAATCTCTAATGAGAATGAATGATCATAACATCTTTCAAACCACATTTTATACTCTTAAATCATCAAACCAGTGAAAATTAGTGCTTATTAATGAAACTCACTGGTAGAAATTTTCTGTTTCATGATGAACGTTAATTTTAACCAAAATTAAACAAATGTGATTTATTTGTTTATTAAAATATTTTGTTGCCCCTTTAACCCTTAATTAATTGCAAATAAAATATTATCATGGCTTATTATGAGGAATGAACAGAATATACAGTTTTGATTGATCTACATGTTTTCACATACTTACTGGTAAATCAGTATAATGTAGATTGTAATCAATAGTGTCACTGCAATCATAAGGAAGGCTGAAAGGCAAGTTTATTCATGTTGCTTTATTCCTTAATTACAAAATAAAATGTTACAATATAAGTCCAGTAGACAAATTAATGACGAATAAATTTAAATACCTTATGACTAATTCTCTATGTTTTAGAATTCTGTAGGGAACACAAAAGCTACCTAGTATTTTACACAGTTAAGTTGAAATTAATATTCAGTAAGTGAGAGATTGCATCCTCAAGCAAGTCAGAATAAAAAAATAGACTTTATCAGGCCTGACTTAAGAAAATTCTTCACAATAAAACATACTGGTTTATACATACAACAGGAATACACTGAAAGAATCACACTGCCCTGAGCAAACAGGTGGCCATTAAGAAATATAAGACTACACATACAGTCTTCCAGGTACCAACGTGTCCAGCAGTTGTCCACATACTTGTGTCGACTATCCTTGGAACGTTGACCCTACACATTCCATCCAGATTCCTTGAGGTTATAAACTCCATCCCCCAAACATATATTAACTTATTTCCTCCTCCAGATCACCTGCTGATATCAGCCAAATGTCAGCTTTCCTGTACCTAAAAGGAGTTAAATCCAACCTTTTCCTCATGAAGTGCCTGTCTCCTGATGTTTTCTATTGTGTTGTCTTTTTTATTTTGTCATTCAAATTCTAGGATGTTGGAGCTGACATTAGAGAGTCTTCCACCCTATCTCAAGCCATTTCCAACTGAGGCCACACATTTGCTCCTAGATCTTGTTCAAGTGCTACAGGAAGCTCCGCAGCCCCTGCCATGCTGACAGCTTAAGACCGGGTAAGATCTCTCCCCTCTTAGAGCTTCTACACTTTGTTCCTTTAAGGCTTTCTCCACCACCACTGGAGACCCTTGCACCCTAGTTATTTGCTCTATTTGCCCTTTTTGTGCTCTTTAGATCTTCTCCATTTCCATTCTCATTCTCTAATTTCATTGCTAATTCTACTTTCTTCTCTCATGTCCCTTGTGACATAGAAACACTTACCATTTTCTGTGTCTGTAATCCTAGTTCTAGTCATGGGACCATTCCCAGGAAGTTTCTATCATTGGTAATTGACCATTTGTAGTGATGACTGCCATGATTATTTACCCATGCTCCATTATAGGGTAAGTGAGTCCCAAATGAAGATGTCTATTTGGGAACCCTGTTTCCTCTCTCATTATGTCATGGGAGTTGCGACAGTTACCTCTCTGTTCTATCCATGGGGAACATCCCTTCATCTAGTTCCTTCTTCCTCTTTAGCCTTTCTTTTAAAACATATGAAATCTCTCCTTCTCTATCCCAATTTGAAACCCAAACATCTAATATTATTCTCCAGAACCATACAGTCACAGTACAAAATGGACAATGATTCCTTCTGGCTAGAAAATGGCATTTTTGAATTCTCTCTTTTGTGGGACTTACACAGTAATACTTCTGGAGGCAGAGCAAATCATCAAATTGTACTTATATTGAAGTATTCTTTTCATTCTGTAATATTCCCTTGACTTGTATTAAAGTATTCTTTACAGTCTGCAATATTCCACTTTTAGTACCTCATGTGATGTCTTGCAAATCCTCTTCTTTCCCTCTTATCTACACCCACTTCACAAGACATGAACTCCTCTCTGCCAACAAATCCAACTGATTTTACTCTCCCCTCTCAGCCCTCAAAACTTCCTACTGCTTCAGCCATTTCTCCTTTCTCATACATAGCTCCCTCCACTGCAATCAGGCCTCTTCTTCCCTCAGAGCCTGCTGGACTTGCTTTTCCTCTTTCCCCTGAGTTTGCCACTATTGTATCCACACCCTTCCCTCCTGGGGGGCCACCTGTCTGTCTAGTGCGAGTTCCTAATATTTACCTGGAACATCTTGTTTAATCCTCCGCCATAGGCTAAACCCAATCCTAGTTCACCCCATACCCAATCTACATTGTAGTTGGCTTTAAAACCCTGCCCTCTGTCCTCCAGTTCACACTCTAGGAGGTTGCAGGAGCAGAGGGATAATTAGAGTTCATGTTCCTTTCTCTTTGACAGACTTCTTCCAAATTAGCCAGGATCTGGGCTCTTTCTCCATACATTTCACCCAAGAATTTCATTGCCTAAGTCATTAATGTTGCCTAACATCGACTGATTAAAATGCAACCCTTTGCTCCGATTTTTCTTTACAAGAACGGGAATAAGTGATCTTCCCAATCCATTCCTATGGGGATGAAAAGCACTCTTTGAGTGACTTTGTAATGGGCACTGCAGTTGTCCCCTGAGAAAACCCAAACTAGAACTATCAGGCAGAATCAGAGGACACAGCAAAACAAGAGCTCATGTTTTCATACTTCTATGGTTTGTTTCTAGATGTCTCCCTAAAACTTCATGTGGCCTTGTGCATAGAATTCTAGAGTTTGTGATTGATTTATAGTCCATTACTGGGATTATGGGTATGAGTGTTACACTTACCCTATAATGGGTGGCCTACATAAAAAATGATACAGAGTCTTCACCCTCTCCTCACATTTTGGATCTTGTGATTTTGCTGTCTTCTACCACCATGAAGTATTGCCCTCGGCCTTGAGCCACCCTGCCTTGGAGTCATCAGATTTTGCTCTGAAACCTCCACAAACTTCAAGTTAAATAAACCTTTCCTTTCTTAAAGTTGGGTGTCAGATATTTTGTATCAGCAAGGAGAAAAACAAAATCAAGACACTTAGTAGAGAGAGAGTTTTACAGGAAGACCATAAAGCAGTTAATTTTGAAAAAACAAAGGAAAACACTCAGAACAGGGCTGAAAATGCAACTCAATTTATGACTCAAATGGCTGGTGCCCTTCAGAAAGACTAGAAGGAAAACTTACCCTAAAGATACATTTTATTACCCCATCATCACCAAACATTTATAAAAAAAATTACAGAAACTTGAGACTACACTTTGGAGCCCACAACAGGAGCTTATCAATTTGACTTTCAACTTTTTTATTAGTAGAGTTTAACGTGCTCAAAAAAGACACATTTCAGAGCTGCATATTTTAGCTTCTACTGTAACAAACCTTCAGGTTGGACCAGAACCCCAGCCATGGCTAAAAGTGTATCCAAAGGCTTCCTAACCAGGGGAGTCCCTCCATGGTTATTTTTCAAAATATACCAAATGGATATATTTGTGATATACTGTGATAGGGAATGTCTGTTTCCTGGGATTTTTCCTAACTCATGTCTCATGCGTGGAAGCCCCACTGAAATTCTCATTGCCCAACACGGGCAGCCTCTCTGCCACCTCTGGGCTATGGCTTCAGGACCCCAAGACCAACTCTTTCCCAGACCTTCTTGACTTTCTCCCTGAAGACTGAGGAGGCCTGGAACCTGCAGAGACTCCCAAGAATATTCTGGTTACTGAACTCAAAGTAATTCTTACACTGAATGGTAAATTTATCCCATTTTTAATCAGTATGGGCATTTGTCACTCCACCTTGCCTTCCAAGGACCAGCCTCCTTGGTTGCTGTCTTAGTTACTTTTTACTTGTTGCTGAGACAAAATACCTGAAGCCCAAAGTTGGGAAAGGAAAGGTTTATTGCTTACAGTTTTTGGAGGTTTCAGTCCATACTCAGTTGGCTCCAAGGCAGGCTGGCATGGCAGGACTGCAGTTCATGGCAGCTGCAAACAGCAAGGCTGAAACCGGCAAAAGAGCAAGACACATCTTCTTCCTGCCATTACATTACATCCTGGTCCCACCTCCTTGTGGGTGTACCACTGAGAGCATCAATCCAAGCACTAGGCAATGAACCAGTCAAAATGCACAATGCAAACTCATGAGACCTGGGGGCCACTGACATAAATCATGACAGTCCCAATTACTGTTGTAGATTTTGACAGTAAAGTCTCTTGATTCTTGTTAACTCCCCCAGTCTGGTGCCAGTTTGGTCTACACCTTTTCGCACATTCATTTTTAGTCAATTCAACCTATCCTCTTCTCCGTTTAAGGCAAAATATCTTAATCAAGGTGTGAGCTACTCTTACCATCCTCAGGAAACAACCAATTATTATAGACACCCTAATGACTACTTCCTTGTCCCCAGCTGAGGCTCCCATCCTTTCCTCCCATCTTAACACTGGAGTCTAGAAATGTCTACCCCATCCCTGTTTTCATTACAACAACCACTTAATATTTTTCACAAGCATAACCACCCTCATCTTGCCCCAAAAGTATACCATTACTGGCCCAGATTTAAAAGGACTACAACTTATTATTTCTACTGTGACACTGCATTTTAGCTCCTGTCAGCTCCCCTTACAACACCTCTTTTCTCCTGGTTGAAAGGCATATGGTTCTTACAAGGTGGTACAAGATCTCTGCACTATCAATCAGATTGTCCTTCCCATACATTCTGAGATGCCTTATTCCTACACCATTTTGTTCTCCATTCCTTCATCTACATTCATTACTCTGCCCTACATTTATTTTATTTTATTTTGTATTTATTTTTTTTAATTTTGAGACAAGGTCTCGCTATGCAGTTCAGATTGGCTTTGAACTCATACATATTCTAGACTGACCTTGAAGTCTCAGTGATATTCCTACCTAAACTTCCCCAAGTGCTGGGATTACAAGCATGCACCACCATGCATGGCTCTGCTCCAGATTTAAAAGAAGCCTTTTTCTTTATTCCCTTACATTCCTCCTCACAGTCTCTCTTCACATTCACCTGAATGAACCTGGACACTCATAAATCCCAGAAGTTAAACTGGACCATCTTAAATCAGGTTTTCTGGCAAAACCGTTACTACTTTCAACAGGCCCTTAAGTATGATTTACTTTCCTTTCATCCACTCTCCTCTCACCTTATGCAGTACGTAGATGACCCTCTTCTCTACAGCCTGTCTTATGAGTCATTCTGTAAGGATCCTTTCTTGCTATTGCAGCATCTAGATTCCAAGGGGCTTCCTTTCTCTCCCTTTAAGGACTAAATTTCTTCCCTACCCATCACATATATTGGCATCATTATCTACAAACATACCCACACCATTCCTCCAAACTATGTGCATTTGATTGCCCAGATCTCAACTTCCACTACCAACAAAAGCTCT